ATGTGTTTTACCTGGGGGATGGCATCGTTCAACTGCCTGAGGAGCAGCTTCTTTCCTGAAGGTGTGCGGACCCAGGACCAGTTGAACAGCCTTTGTGTGAGTGCCTTGCTCGCACACGTGCTCTCAGACTGTTCCTGATGTAGCCTTGCAAGCGCAACCAGGCACACTGTCGTGTCCCATGGCCCAGGATGTCCGTTTCAGGATGAAGTGCTGTTCGACCGCATCTCGACATTGCTGTGGCAGCTCCCTTCCCCGCAGAGTGTCCCGCAAAAGTTTCAGGTTGTGCCGAAGCAGCAATGCAGACATGACCTTATTGTGCATGTTGAGACGTGTCAACTCTGACTTTTGCGCATCCGAGTTGAGCTGCTGCATCCGGGAGTTGTTGGAGCAGTTCGCAATCGAGCGAGGGTATGCTCATGTCTTGCTGAACCCGTACATCGTGAATGGGGTGGCAACGGGCTGTCAGTTGCAATCGTTTGCGGACACTTGGCTGCAAGTCCTTTGCACATGGAATCCAGTTTCGCATCATGATGGTTTCATCTTTTGCTTCTGATTGAAAGGACAACAGCCCAGAGTGGCAGGGCTGGATGCTCCCGGTCCAGCAGGATGGGCACTTGTTGCACGTCTCCTACTACGCCGCCGATGTGGCCGCCTTCGGTGAGTCCTTCATGCTGAAGACCGGTATGAAGAAGATGAGACAGAGGCAGCTGCGGAGTCCGCCTCCACGCGCTAAGCCCTTCTATCCTGCAACTTGTAGCACTTATGGGTTGTGCAGAAACTAATGAACTTGGTTGAAGCGGCTGCGCCTTGCATCACTGAGGCGAATGGACCAGCTGAAGATCATCACTTCGTTGGATGGCGGCTACTCGCAGTGGTGGAGCGCCTTGCCCCAGGACGACTCAGGATTCAGGTCATTTTGGGTCACGGCAGACGGCTACTTCTACAGCCTCACGAGAAAGCAGATGAAGGTCTGTTCCATCTTTGAACAGATTGTGGCAGTCATGCATGTTCGGCTAAGCACGGACAGGACAGCGTTAAGCTAAAAATGGGCGCACCCAGGTAAGTGGCTTGGAACTACGCAGCCCAAGCTGGAGGACAAGCTGGCAGCTTTCTTGGAACGAAGGCCGCTTGCCTCAACCCTAAGCCGTGCAACCTCTCAGTCTGCCTGGAGTCTTGTCTGTTTTACTGTGCCCGCCGGCCAGGGCTCGCAACTCTGACAAGTGAGCGGCAGGTCCGTAGTGGCACTCAGGCCCTCCGGTCCTCAGGTCCCCAGCTGCCCAGGTACAGCTTGTGTCAAGTCCTCTTTGGCTTTTGCACGTTTCACCCTTTCCGAAGAGATCAGCAGCGAGCGCGGACACCTTGCGGCTTCAAAGTTGAATGCCTGATTGATTTGCGCAGCAGCACACGTCGGAGCTTAGGCCTCAATCCTTAAAATCTTTCGCAGGGGCTGGGGGCTCAACCCAGTATAAGAGATGGGTCTAAAAGGGGGCCTTATAGGAATAGGGTTTAGGGTTTAGGGCATCTTGCCGGCTCAAAAAAAGGGTTTAGGAGTTTAGAGTTTAGGAGATGGGTTTGGAGACTGAGGGCTGGGGTCTGAAGAGGCACCCTTTTAGGAAGCTCGAGGGGTTCTGTAAGTCTGTTCTGTAGGGTTTTCTGACATACTGTTTCGTCTAAACTGCTAGTCTGACCCCTCCCCCCTCCCCCCCCGCCAACCCCCGAGCCTGGTTGTGGCAGCAGCTCCGATTTCCAGTAAACTCTAAACCATAATAGTGTTAGCCGGTGCTGATATGCTTGCAGAACCCGGAATTCTAAGCCCCAATTTAGACGCCTAAAACTAGCACATTTGGGAAGTTTGCAGTTTTGCCTGGAAACCCGAGGAACAATTTATCGATTTATTCAGGCCCCTATACATAATGAATTTAATGAACTTACACTCGGAATTCTATTTTCTCAAAATAGAGGACCGAACTTCCCGCACCTCAGCGGCACGCAGCGCCGCAGTGGCACGGGAGGAAGAAGAGGAGCGGATCGGGAGAGCATTCCTTGGGGCCGCCGGGGCCTTCTATAGATTTCAGTTTCGCAATTAAGTTTGTGCATTGCACGCAGGAGGAAACTAACATCAGATAGTCAGGGGGTTGAAATTACAGTTTTTAACATCCAACTGCGTCCTGCTTAGTTTCACGCGGTGCAAACCTGCGGTGGTGCCCTGGAAAACATGTTCCTTTACCGTCCCCGGAGCCCCTAAAACCTGGGCCCCAAAAGAGAGAAAAGGGAGAAGGTTCAAGAGCTGTCAAGCCATAAACCCTGAAAAATCTATACCCACTGTTCATATTCGGGTATAAACATTGCAGTAGCCCCCTCATGGCTTTGTATAAGGGTGGTGTATGTAGAGGGCTTGGAACCTGCCAGGAGGCGACGTCGCCCATGAGTCCAGCGCAGCAAACCATCAGTGCCTCGACATCCGCTGGCTACCCTTTGGTCTAGGTTTCATTGAACCGGTGTCGCGCATGCTTTCTTACAAAGCTCTCTGGTCAGCTCATGTAGGACAGGGCTTGAGAGGATTCTGAGATCAGCTAGGCAGCTAGTCGATTTCTGAGAGAACGATTTGCAAACCAATTTCCGTGCTTGCTCCTGGGGCCGGCAGAGATCGCTTCTGAACGCAGACCCCGTTGAAGGGCCAATAACTGCACTTTGAACCCGGTAGAAAAAGGAAGAAACAGGATAGCTTCCTGGAAAGCCCACATCCTGTCCAGGATGCTCCAGCTATCACGCTGGCTCCTTTCGACGTTCCTGCGATCCAAGTCTCGCTGCAACCTTCTCGTTGTCGGCGTTCGTCCTCGATCGTTTCGATCCTGCTTGTGCCCCCCTCAAGGTGGGCGATGCTGGAAGACTTTAGGAACAAGACCCCCCAAGGGCTTGAACTCTTGTTACGTGCGGCGCGCGCGGCCTGGCCCTTACCCTCAAGCCTGCCAAAACAAAACCGGCAGGAACTCTGACGAAAAAGTAGTTTTAACAAACAAATTACACCCGAAACCCGACATAGAAACCGTACACCCTAGAAACCCCAAGCCCTGTATAGTAACCCTTCTTTGAAGGCCTTCATCGTGACCCTCTTTAACCCATAAAAAAAAGGAAGCCTATCCCGCACAGAGCTTCCCCAAGCTTCCAACCTGGCCCAGGCTGCCAGAGCCGTCGCGAGTTGGAGGTTGGGATCTGCCTGATATTTCAGGACCCCCCCAATGGCCCTTTAACAAGTTTAGGGTTTAGGGTTTAGGGTTAATAGAGCCCTTATGGTCCTTAATAGTGGGTATCCGGGTATAATTAGAGGATAGTTAGGGGGTCTAGATAGGGGCCTTTACAATCAAAATAGGGTTGTGTGGTATGTTTATAATGAGGGCCCCCCCCCCCTAACTACCTCTACATTGCTTTTTTTCATCACCAAGAAGGCTCAGGTTTCAGGGCCTGGGACTTTTGGGGTTTAGTAAGGGATGTAGGGTTGAAGGGTTAGGGTTTTGGGGGGTTGAGGAGCCAAGAAGGCTTACGGTTCTTGGCTTCGGCCTCAATCAAGATGATTGCAGGCCGTGGTCCAGTAGCAGAAAGGGCTGCATGGCAGCAGCACGGGATTACGCAGTATAGGGGGTCAGGGTTCGGAATGAAGCAATGCTTTGGTGTTTAGGCATAGTATGTGCGTGGAGGCATACGAACCTCGAGCAGTCAGACCAGATCCAAAAGGGTCCTATGCCTCAAGTTGCTATCCGAACTCCTCAAAGTCGAAGGCTTTCCGGGGCATTGGACATTCTCTTAAAGAAAAAAAGCTGCGTAATTAAAGCCACGTACACTTTATTATTATAGATTCAGTCTTTACAAATCTATGCCCGAACCCTAATTCGCCGTTTGTTTCAGGTGGTCAATAGCTGTGGAGTCCTCGGCCGCCTGTGGTTCGATCAAGGCGGGCACAGCTTCGCCGAGTCTTTGGAGGGACCCGGGGGCTCAAGGATTCAGGGCTCGGGAGTGCTTAATGTAGGGGCCTAAATAATTACCAACACTATTTTGGGGGCTCCTTATTATAATCATAGTGTAATATACCCCAAACCCTATTCTAACTATTAAGGCTCCTATATCAGTGTGTTTGTAGGTGTGTGTGCGTGTGTTTGGGAAGAGGGGGTTTGGGATTTCAGGGTTCAGAGCCTCAGTAAGTTAGGTAAGGGTTTTCGGGTTTGGGGTGTGTAGGCTGTTGAAACGCTTTGCGCTTAGAGCTTGCGCATTTTGTTAAAGCTAGGGCCTGGAACCTTCAGTAATATAGGGGCTAAGGAACCAATCTAGAATAGGGTTCCCTTAAAGGTTCCTTAAAAAGGGATACTATAAGGGTTCTATAATAGGGGCCTTAATAATTACCTATACTATTTGGCGGGCTCCGTATTATCATTGTAGTAATAGTATAGTACACCCCAAAAATCCCTAAAACCTTATTCTAATTAGTAAGGCCCCTGGATTATTCGTTTGGTTCCAAAGCACAAACGGGTGAATGCTAGCCGCTCGCCTGCCCCCGAAACACGAATGACCGCAGAGAAGTCTCTCTCTGTAAGTGCTTGGAAGAGCTCAGGGTTTTAAGGGTTTGAGGCCGTTAGGGTGGCAGGTTCAGCTGTTGAGGTAAAGAATTCAACCACCCTTCAAAAGCCATCTACAATGCAGAGGACCGGGAACAGAGTTTTCAGCGGGAAGAAGCGGGCTGGTGGCTGAAGCCAGAGAACTGCTAACAGTTGAAGCAAACGGAAAGAGATGGAAACAAGGGCAGCTTCTGTGAGTTACAAACCCCCTGTAAGCCGAGTTAGAGCTTTGTACCCTTAGGCAAGGGCCGGCCGACCGTTGGCTTCATGCAGGCCAGTTGCGTTGCGATTTGGGTTTCGGGGTTTGTGCACTTTCTGCTGCCGGGATCTCAGAAACAACTATGGAACTTCGACGGAACTTGAATGTACAGCCCCCAATGATTTACAAGAGCCGCTTGTGGCTTGCAACGTGCACTGCGCGCTTCTGCCATATACGTACATACTGAACATACAAGCATATAGATATAAAGGGAATATACACCAGGCTTTACATAATATTCCATATTATACCTTGTGGGTTTATGCAGTACGAATATTAAATGGTGTCAGTTGTATACAGCATCTCTGGCTTATGTAAAAAGGTACGTAGCTGTGTATCACGTCGTATGCATTATGTACAATATCTATAGTCATGTACTCTACATTGAGCATTACATTGTATATCTTATGTAATTTTGAGCTGTAGCACGTTGTGTCATGTGTTCATGAACTGCTCGTACTCTGTCAAAAGTAAGCTGCTCGTCGCTTACTATTAAGTATGCGTTCTAACACATACTAGGTCATGTATGTATGAATGTATGTATGTACGCATGTATGTTAGTGTAATGTAATGCCTGACCTCGCCGAGCGCAAGTGCCAAAAAACGTAATGTGATGTAATGTAAGACAATGTAACGTACTGTGTATGTATGTGTGTATGTGTATATGGGTGTGTAGGTATGTATGTCTGTATGTGTGTGTGTGTATACATATACGTATACGTATGTGTGTGTATCTGTAAGTTTACATGTACATGTAGATGTATGTGTATATGCAAAGCTGTGTCAGTATGTGCGTATGTGTATATATATATATATATGCGTGTGTATGTGTATGCATACATATATATATATATATATGTATATACATATATGTCGCAGCTATCGGGGCAGCAACAGCAGCACAGTTTGTTGCTCTCAGGTTCCCTCCGATCGGAAGGTGATCTGCACCGTGCCGGCTCCTTCTCGCATTGTTTTTGGAGGTCTGTCTAAGTAGGCGACCCCTAATTCACAATCGTTGCAGCAACGGTACAGATATTATAGGCCCTAGCGTAAGGATCCTGACATAGGGGACACGTAGGGTCTACGGTGTGCATAACATGTAGCATCCGAACAGCTGGGGAAACTGCTCGTGTAGACCTGATCAGGAAGCGTGTGTTTGAAAGTTTGCTTTTGCACAGCGGCCTAGGACGTCGACAGCGCGCTGTGCATCGGATTGGCGGACCACGATGGCGTGTCATGGACAGACTATGTGGTTACACCCTTTGTTCTCAACGTCTTGATTTACGATTTCTACTTTCCAGAATATCGTTCACAGATGGCAATAAACGCCTAAGCCTGAGTGTGCAGCAGCAAGTTTCCACGCCAAGTGCGCTTTGGGCATGCACCGATAGATGAGCTTCTACATGAGGACTGATGGACTGTGGGAGAATGTCCAAGCCCGCAAACACGTCATAGGGAATTCCGAAGCTCATTCACATGGCATCAAAAACTGGAAGCTTAGCCCATCATCATTTGTCATCATGGGCTTCGGTTCCGTAAACCTGCATCCTATATGTAGGACGTAACGGTTTCAAGGCCGAGCCGATGGGAAGAAACAAGAAGCCTGAACGAATCTCAAGACCAATGCCTTAGGATTGACATGTCCCTTCCAAGTAGTGCAGCCTTCACGTTCCATACGGATGATGCAGAATGTTCATAAGTATTGTAAGGCAATTGCATAAAGAGACAAGTGTCCTGGACGGCAGACAAACCCCAAGGCCTGCAATTCACCGATAGCTAGGGTGCCTGATTCGGGGGTCCTTGGTTAAGGTTCATGTTAGAGGGAGAGTCTCGGAGAGAGAGAGAGAGAGAGTCTCTGGAACAGAACAGAGAGAGAGAGGGAGAGAGAGAGAGAGAGCTCCGGGGATGCTGACCCGTCCCCATGCCCCGGAGAGAGAGAGAGAGAGAGAGAGAGAGAGAGCAAGAGAGAGCGCGGTTTCTATATCGATAATATCAGTCAATGATGGTCCCTCGTTTTCTGAAGCTTCCCGCCGAAGGTCGCCAAGCCAGACCTCAGCACGTTTGGCCGCTACGCCACACCCTTGCCCGGAGGTCGGGGCCTTCCAAAGTTGTCTTAGGGTTTTGGGAATGTTTGGGGCATTAGAGGTGCAGGGTTTTCAGGTTTGGAGCTTAGTGTTTTCATAGGGTCTTGATCTTTCAGAGGTTGCCGGGAGGTTCGGAGTTAGATGTGCGGTACTCTAAGCCCACTAGATGGAGGGGGAACATGGACTGTCGAGTCGATGCATGTCATCTGAAAAACGAGTGTAGGTAGGATTTGGGGAGGTGTAGTGCTGTTACCCTTTCACCATCAGCCACAGTAGCGGAACCCAGATGCAACACTGGCAGCATCAAGATGAGCATCCTCATCCCCAGAAGACTTTGTCATCATGGTCATCAACATGCTGTCATGATGAACCATCGTTACACAATTCTTCATGTTCTTGCAGTTGCCGCAGCCTGCAGAAGCATCATTCGGCGTTTTTGGCAGTGTGATGGCACGGTTTTCGGCTCCGGGGCCTGCGCCTCACTGATGCAAGGTTTCCGAGGCTTAACGGTTTAGGGTTTAGGGTTTAGGGTTCATCGCTCATGAGCTTGACGATCTCATAATGCTGCAGACACCTGGGCAGTTCGGATCTGGGGGCTTCCAGAGTCGGGGCTTGGGACTGCAAGCTCGAAGAGCGCATGTAGAGTGTCATGGCTAGGGCCATCGGACACAACGATTTGCGAAGAGCGTAACTGCGTTTCGTTTTGCGACTGCTTATCTGTTGAGTAGTCCATGTTCATCGTCGCTATGTGCTGCAGTTCGGGCTGCGGACTTCAGAAGGTACATTATCGGAGGCCGAAGCGGAGGTTTCTGTCAGGCGTTTGTGTCGTCACCCCCGACCACCGAGTCTCACCCAACCAGAAGCATCGCCGGAGGTTGGGGCTTGGGTACCAGTGAAGAAGACCAATGCACCTTGTCCGAACGTTTGGTCCCTTCCCATCGGCATTTGTTTGTGATTTTGGTTCTCTCTGACCCGTGAAGGTTTGCAGTAGAAAAGCTTGCAAAATGCTAGGGACCGGGCTCAGTGTTCAGACGTTCAGGTGTGGAACCAGATACTCAGCATGCCAAGTTCAAACCCCTTAGCGCAAGGTGGCCCAGCAGAGAAGGTGTCGAACGAATCCCGGAATGACCACCAACCCTTGGCGAGAGACGTCTATCCTAGGGGTCTGCCAATCACATGTTTTATGATCTGCTTAATATAGGAAACTTAATAACTACCTATACTGTCTTGGGGGTTCCTCATTATGATTGAGTACATTTCTTCAAGATGTGATCCGGCCGAAGTCTGTGCCCTGCTCGGTAGATTCGGGAGGCGCAGTTGACTCGCCGCCGAGAGGCGGAGAGCCATGAAACGACAGAAGCTGACGGATCCCCTTCGCAACATAAGACACGTGTTCAGACTACGGTGCAGCCTGCCACCCAGAGATCTGCACACCGCCTCTGCAGGCTGCCTGACAGCATCCCTCTCCATCGGACAGCCGCTTGTCTCACTATCACAACAAAGTGCTTCGTGATGTTCAGCGTCTTGTAGACGTTTGTCCATCACTTGGAGTAGCTACCCATGCATACCTGGGAAGGAGGAGACAGATGTGCACCAGTGGTGTCGCTGCGCCGAGGTACGGCCAAGCTCGTCTGGAGCTCCTTCCACCACTCGAGTTGCAGACGCTCAACAGCGACTACTAAGGCTTGTATGACCTGACTACAACAAGAAGGCTGAATAATGAGCATGCTGCTCCTGGCCTCTTGGGGCTCCTCGTTATAAGTTCTAGTTGGTGTAAGAGACGCCGCCAAGTGTTGGGGCCAAGCCCTGAACTGCAAATTCTATCCCTTCCCTTCAGCTGCTCCTTGGAGGAGAACGGTTTAGGGTTTAGGGTTTAAACCCTAAACCCTAAACACCCTAACGTTCGTCGGATGGCCGTTTTTGGGGCTCAAAGTTTGTAACTCTGCAGCCCGCCCCTTTGCTCTTGCAGAGATCGGAGCCGACCTCCGACTAGAAGGCCTGGCGCTTAGCAGGGAATGTGGGGGATGGATCCCTATGATAGCCCCTTAAGGTCCCCTAAACCCTAAACCCTAAACTCTAAACCCCTAAACCCTAAACCCTAAACCCTAAACCCTAAACCCTAAACCCTAAACCCTAAACCCTAAACCCTAACCCTACTAAGCACCAGACAGTAGAAGGCCATGACGGACGTTCAGCCGGCGGAGCCGGAGTTCAAGGTCGGCTCGAAGGGCAAGAAAGAGGTGGTGCCTTGGAGCGAATTTTCAGGGGTCAACATAATTACAATAGGGGCCTACATAATTACCTATATGATTTCGGGGGCTCCTTATTATGATTATAGTATGATGGGCCCCAAAACCCTATTCTAACTATGAAGGCCCCTATATTAGGGACTGTCAGGGGCAGTATCACAAGCTCTCCAGGCCTCTTGCTACTTGCAGGAAGCGCGTAGAGAAGAGCTGGAACATCCGTTCGCGGAAGATGGACCCTGCAATACGAGAAAAGACGTTTAAGCCAAGTCCAGCGAAGGAGTAGGATCCTTGGTTAAGTTGCAGTCGTCGCGATCAAACGCTTGCCTGCGATCCTCCACGCTGCCAGGGCGATGTTGCATCGTGTGTAGTGTGGGGGGGCCTTAATAATTACCAAAACTATTTCGGGTGGTCCTTATTATAATTATAGTATAGAGGGACCCAAAACCCTTTAAAATCCTTAAGGCCCCTATTGTACTGTTTCGCTTTTTCTAGCTTTGCCAGATTTCGGAAGTACGGAGCGCTCATCTAATACCTTAGACAGTAGAGCACTTACTTACTATTGATGGATATAAATCCTGCATTACCTTAATAGGACCCTGAACTTGGGGAATTATGGTATATTCCTTATTCTGGGTAAATGCAGGTTTTATATCATCAACCGTATGGGGACAAGACCACCGGCCTTAAACTCGGTGAAGCTGAGCTGAGCCTCAGAGCTTCTCCCCGAGTTCGGAAATTTCAAGCGCCACTTCAAGCGCCACTTCTCCGAGTCTTCCTGATGGCAACCACGATATATATATATATATATATGTATATGTATGTATGTATATACATATATATATATATATATATCAGTATGACTCAGTGGGATTATGATAAGTAGTGAGTGTGGTTGCAAGTCCAAGCAGCCACCCCCTAAAGCCTAAGCTCCTAAGCCCTAAACCCAGCTCCAGGTGGACAATGCCCTGGACAAGAAGTTCCGAGGCTCGAAGATGGACAACTTCTTCAAGGCTCCTTTGACATACAATAACACACAGCATATAAAGCCCTAAACCCCCAACCCTAACCGTATATAACCTATGTCATATATAATATATATTACGTAATATATCGGCTTAGGGTGAAACGGTGAATTCCGCCGTTCCTTCCCAAGCAGGGGGCCAGAAGATCGAAACGAGACACCATGTCATCCTTTCGAAGGCCTAAACCTTAAAGCATACACACCAAATCCCAAAACGGCCGTTACGTTCAACCAAGGTCGAAACCCTCCGTAAACCCCTGATTGACGTCTCTGAAGGTCCGAGGAGTCTAAGTTTTTAGGGTTTAGGGTTTAGGGTTGCAAAAAAAGGTTTCGAAGAAGACTTCCAGTTGAGGACCAGTGTCGCAGCAGCAGGAAAGGGCACACATCAACTTTAAAACAGACTTCGGAAGACTCCGAGATCCCTTGGCCAAGTGAGCACAGCCTGTCAGCCTGAGTAGGACGGCTTCCATTGTTCTTCATGCGGTTCAGGAGTAAGGGGTTAAGGCAAAAGGGCTGAGTTCTTCAGTCATCATGGATGAGTTGAACTGTATGGCTTCTTTGCAATACAGATGGGCTTACCAGGGTTTGATTTCGGATTTTCGGGATCCCAAAAAAACAAACCATAACGAACCGCCCATTGACATGATCGCATGCTAGTTTTAGCAAAAGTGACGAATTACTACTGCTAGGGCCGCTAGGGCATGCTGAAGGAATCGACCGCATAGAGTGCTGCAATCCTCGCGGGCGTTTCTGAAGTCACTGGGCAACTACGTAGTAGCACCCGCAGGTGTCGCAGCGTGGCTCCAACCTCACGACGGAGACACGGATGTGTTGAGACGTAGGGCTTTGCACCACAATTCTGGGTTCTTGTTCCGGAATTTAAGTTAAGTAACTACAACAAGGAAACCATTATTGTAGATTCCTATTATGGTAACTCAAATCAAATTCCTTAACGAGAACCCAGAATCGGAAGCTCGTGGGCTTGTTTTGCTCTGAGACAGGCTGCAGGAACCACCAATCTCCATCAGCTCTGCGATCAATGCAGTCAACGGGTCTTCAAGCATCGCCGCGTCAATGGTTCGGAAAAAACCACGCAGCAGCAGAAGGCAATTACGTCGTTCACCTGCCAAATCCTCTAGACGTTGAAACCTCGATGTCCCAAGCTGTTTGAAATCGCGCTTTCGGGCTCGAACCCGACTCACACAGTGGTCTCCTGCTGTAGGAGATCCGAGCGGGAATCACAACCTTCCTCACTGCTGCCTACATCATGGCGGCGGCTGGGCCTGAAGCACCTGTAACTTTTTACTTGATGCTCTCAGCTAGTAGCTTCGCGGCTTCGGGCTCGGTGCCTCCAGACATAAAGAGTTTGCTGGCAGTAGAAGTGTAGGTGTAGAAAAGTTGTTGTCTTGCTGAGCTTCTTTCAGGAAGCCTTGTCCGTGCGATTGTGTGAGCATTCGCAGACGATGGCGGCTCGAGGATCCTAATTTCAAAAGGCCGCTCTCCACGCCAAAAAGGCCCCTGCGTCCCATGAAGGCTGCGGGCTGTTGCAGATGGACTTTGATGCAAAGGTGCCTGACGGCTAAGCCCATGGCAAACTGTCATGGTCGGGCATTTTCGAGCCCTTCCCAATGGCAGGATGCTTACATCGATGCGATAGCTTCTGGAGAGGATCGGCGATTGCAAGATGCTAAGAGACGATTGATGGACCAATGGCGTGGCGATCATGCTGCCAATCGAGTAGCGGAGGTGAACCACCACTACAATCGAGCTCTGCAGGGCCTTGAGGGCCCCAATGCACTCGGAGTCCATCTGACCTACCTCGCACATCAGAAGTTTCGCCGTGGAGCCCGTGGTAATTGGGGCCTAGCCCGGCGGACAGTCGGTCGCTTGACGCACCTCCTGGATCACGCGGCGAGCCCGTAGCGGCCGAAAGTCTGAAAGAAATCCCTGTGTCACTGCCCTTCGCAGGCTTGTCCATCTTCTCCCTTTGCCTTCTGGCAACCGTGAGGAGCTTCCGAAAAGCATCGGAAAAAGATGTCGGGAGGCAGGATTGGGTAGTAGATTCATAGTCTTCGGCGAGAGAACCATAGGCTTTCGGGCTTACAAAGGGCAGAGCAGGGGGGCCCTGGAGAGAGACTTCGGGGCTAAGGAGGTAATGGTGGGTTTAGGGTTTAGGGTTTAGGGTGCATCTTCTGGGGATTTTGTATCATCCTACAACGAATTAGGGGTTGGCCTTTCTTGTGCTACGCCGCATAGCCTCTATGTAGAGCGATTGACAGTAGCCCCGATAGTCTCGAATCTCCGAGCCACCATCAAAACTATAGAGAACTGCTCCACAAGCAGCGCAGCGGGAAGACATGAAGGCTCCTTGAGAAGGCTTTAAGTTTTAAGCCTCCCTTCTCAAAAAAAGGGTTTCAGGCTGAACTCTAAATTGAATATAGCTCCTCTACGAAACCTCTCCTCCAAAGCTTTCCGGATGACCCCTAGACATGCACCCTAAACCCTAAACCCTAAACCCTAACCCCTAACCCTTGAACACGGAACACCCGAGGTCAATCCGAACATCATCAGCACCACGGGCCTGAGCCCTCGAAGAATAAAATGGGAGTTTCCGGAAATTATGGAACCTTCCTTTGGGATTTAGGGTTTAGGGTTT